TAGCGTTATGTATATTTTTCCTTTCTGAACAGGACCTGGAACACCACTTGGGTCTGGCTCTCAACGAGGTTCAGGCGGCCAAAAAGACCTGGTTCAACCGAACGCTCAGCTCCATCAAGACGGTCACTGGCACCCAGGGCAAAGAGACCACTTAACCTAAAGACCCGCCATCCGTCCGTTTTAACAAGACCACGTCTGGAGCTCGGTGTGACTCAGACTCCTCCTCCCCCAAAAACGTAACGCACACAGCCATAACGTTAACATTAACCGTTACAGAGCAGAGGATCTCCTCTGTGACTGACTGTGTTACTTGTTTCCTCATATCAAAGATGTTCTTATTATTTTCTGAAGTAACTCTCCCAATAGAAACCTTTTAACATCCATGCAAGCAGTGCAGCGATAACCGACAGAGACCACGCGCTTCCATCAGTCACAGGAGCAGAGATCCTTCATTACTGCTGAAACGGAAAAACTCCACAGTGGGGGAAGCACAGACATCAGAACTGTATCTTTGCTCTCCCTTTCTTCTAAACTACTGGCACAAAACAAGTCTCTGTATATTTTCTTTTTTTAAATTTTGGTTTGTTTAAGGTACGAGTGCTTATAGACGCCTTTCCAGGACTAAGCTTTTTCAAATTTTTGTTGAACAGTTCTTTCTTTTGGCATATGTGCTAATGGAGCGTCTGACTGTAATGTGTATTTGTTTATGACTGTGAGACTGGGGAGAAAAAAAAGATTTGAAAGCATGAATAATTAGGTGTGTGTGTGTGAACTGTTTGAGTGTTTGTGGAAGGATTACGGAAAGAAAAGCACTAAAGTTCTGAGTATGTGCATGCATGTCAGGTTGTCTCGTGTCTTTTAATGTTCAAATGTGTACAGAAAAACTGGTGAAGAGAAGTTTGCTGACAAGGCCTTGATCTAAAGGTTGATAACAGGTGGTTATAAATATGTAATTTATGGAAACTAAAATGTGTTGTGAGAAGCGACTGCAGCTTGAATCTCCTTGAATTAAAATACACACTTGTTTTTGTTTGGTTTGGATCTTCCACTATGAAGAAACCCTGAAAAAAAAAGCTCTAAATCAAACAAGTAATACCTTTTATTACTCAAATGGTCTGCTGAGTTTGAGTAATTAAAATTCCAATAGTCAGAATGGACAAATTTATAATTCCCACGGCCTTTAAACTCACCATCAATTCCATTTCATTCTGTCCATCATAGAGTGATCAGATTTTTTTGTGTTGGCTGCGATGGCCCTGTTAAATACTTTACATAGAAGTTAACAGAATGTTACATTTGCTGATTCATTTTGAACAGATTTTGGGTTTTTAATGATGCATTAGAACCAAGTTTAGTTTTTTTGGTGGAGTAATAACTTTAAAACAAGAAGTGGGTGCACAATTTTGAAATATGGAGTTTGTCTAATTAACATAGGATCAAAATTATACATGCATGTTTAAATGCATGTATATACACACCCCCAATAATAGCGTTAATGTCCCAACATGTTTTTATAGAAAACCAATACAATTTTTGGCATCATTCTGAGCATTTTGCAACTCTTCTTGGCAAAGTTGATATAGTTTCTTTAAATCGGTGGGTTTTTCTGTCACCTGGCGCTCCGTTCTAAAATTAGTTTTTGTGTTTGGTATAATTGTTCCAAACTACTGTTTGGAAGTAGTCCAAAATTTCCAGTTCACAAGTTGTAGAAGAGATTTAGCATCAATGCTGCCATTACCGTATTTGACATTTAATGGAGAGTCTTCAGGTTTAAAAGAAAACTCTCCCTGTAACTTTGGTTAAATAGCTCAATCTTTGTCTTGCTTCAAAGAACCTTTTTTCCTAAGCTCTACTGAGCCAAGAAGATCGATCAAACTAACAAACAATCCATAATTATTCTGAGGTGGTTGTCTCTCTAAAAGATAAAGGACATTTAGAAAATTAAATTCAAACTTTTGCACCCAATTCTTGATGTTCAAAATGTTGTTTGTAGTATAATCATTCTACTTGGGAAAATATAACAAAAAAAAAACATGTTGAAATAGATTCATAAGGGTCAATCCATGTCTGTAAACTTCTGATCGGCTCCATAAATGCATGTAATTCATAGAGTTAAGATTTAAACCCACCAGTTGACCCAATTGTCTATTGAAATTAACAAATATGTTGCAGATGTGTCATTTATTTAAGATGTATATGATTCAGGTGTGATGGGTATGGATAGAGAAAGCATTTCAAGTAGCCAAACATGGCAAAGCAGCAGAAATACTGATTGAATAAAACTCAAGCAAGTAATTTGGCATCTTTAACATGCAAGAAAATTTTTTTCTGGTTCAAAGCGTCATATCAGGATGAGCCCACAAACAGCTACAACCTATTCTTCCTAGATTTCAACAGGAAGAATATTTAAAAAATCATTTTTATTAGCTTCAGTGGAGCAAAATTCTTCAAAAATATGCTCAAATAAATTTGGGACTCACGGTGAATGTTACAAGTTGCTAAAAATATTGAAGCTCTGGAGACGTTACTCTGACCACAGACTGCTGTGAATGTGAGAGACCTGTCAGCAAGCAGAGGTGTCGCCGCAGTGTGAGGGGAATCGCACCACCAGGTGCAGGGCAGCAGAGCCGTGTCAGGAGAGGCCAGAGTTCAGGTCAAAAAGCTCTATATTTGTCCACAGGGCATAAGGGGCTGGGAGAAGCCTCTGTGTGTGATTTAATACTTCGCTGACGGAGGAGCAGAGGCTCAATGATAATCCGGTTTCAAATCCTGCTGAGACTGAACGTTTTTCTTCACCTGAATGGAACGAACCATTTCTGTAACCTGCGTCTTAACTTGAAAAGTGAAGTCTGTTCAGCTGGAATCCGGTTGTGATATTAGGAGTAGAAGAAGAAAAGATGTAGAGGAGCATTCACCTTAAGGCACTGGGCTGTAAATAAACGTTAAAAGCATCACTATTGAATTTTTTTCTTTATGGTTTTTCTACTCTAACTATAACTAATGTTGCCTACCTGTACTCACCTACCTGCTGCTGTGATACAGTTGAATCTACAAAGGTTTTATTGTATTTCTGTATGTTTTTTGTTCTTTTTTTGTAATTTTGCCCTTTTTGCTCCAAGCTTCTCAGTCGCACTGCTGTTTGGATAACTACATGCCAAAACATAGCTCCGTCAACCAACATTATCAGCGTGTGGAAATTGTAATAGAATAGACTGCATTGTGTATACTCCATGAATTTAAATATAAAGATATGAACACAAGGATACGTGACTCATTCTTTACACACACACATATTTCTTTATGGACACAAGGTTGAGAGAAAAAGGTCCAGCTAACCAAAATGAGCCTGTAATGAAAGGACATTTAGAAAATTAAATTCAAACTTTTGCACCCAATTCTTGATGTTCAAAATGTTGTTTGTAGTATAATCATTCTACTTGGGAAAAAAAAAACAAAAAAAAAACATGTTGAAATAGATTCATAAGGGTCAATCCATGTCTGTAAACTTCTGACCGGCTCCATAAATGCATGTAATTCATAGAGTTAAGATTTAAACCTACCAGTTGACCCAATTGTCTATTGAAATTAACAAATATGTTGCAGATGTGTCATTTATTTAAGATGTATATGATTCAGGTGTGATGGGTATGGATAGAGAAAGCATTTCAAGTAGCCAAACATGGCAAAGCAGCAGAAATACTGATTGAATAAAACTCAAGCAAGTAATTTGGCATCTTTAACATGCAAGAACATTTTTTTCTGGCTCAAAGCATCATATCAGGATGAGCCTACAAACAGCTACAACCTATACTTCCTAGATTTCAACAGGAAGAATATTTAAAAAATCATTTTTATTAGCTTCAGTGGAGCAAAATTCTTCAAAAACATTCTCAAATAAATTTGGGACTCATGGTGAATGTTACAGGTTGGGTTATTTGATGGGTTATTTTACTTTAAATAAATATGTTTGAAGCATAGCACTTATGATTTTAACTGTGTTATCACCCAAGGATGCAAGCAATGTCCAAAGTTTAAAACCATCAAACATTTTTGGTTTCCCTCATGCATGAATATAAGTGGATGATGAAATCCCACAACCATGGAAACAGAAGTCCTAATTGCTACTTTTCTAACTTCCTGTAGTAGCCATTGGCGTCGAAACTGTGCTGCAACGTTAATGCGAGCGCATGGTCACTGTAATTGGATACAGGATGTACCGATTTGGTTTTAGGTTTGATGTTTATCATTTCTGTTCTCTACATAACCCACCGGAGTTCGTTTTGCTCGGAAAAAAACTCGTCTTTTTGCTTTTGTGAAGTCATTAATTTGGGTGAACTACAACAAGCAGGCAGATTTGAATCTTGTTTCTGTTCTTTTTTTTTTAAACCCTACATACACTTAAGTGTCATCACATGTCAAAATGTACTCTTTTTTTATATATAAACCCCTTGCTGATTGGTGATTAGCTAAACCTATTTTCCCTAAAAGGATCTAAGCATTACCTGAGTTACTTTTAATGAGATGAGAATACTGCGATGCTATTTAGCATTAAAATGTTTTATGTATAATATGAGTTCAGGTAGCATCAGTGAAAGACAGTCATCCTGTTCCTCACCAATAGGAGACACTGAAGGAAAAAAGAAAAGAGCCCAGTTCTGGTCTCATAATGGGAATTCTCAGTCACCTCTCTGAAATACTCCAGAAATCTAAATGTGAAAATAAATCTAATTATGTCTTGTGAAAACAGCCCCGATCTGTCAGACACTAGACCTGGATGTAAATCTTGTTCTCAATTTGGCTCTTGTTCTCCTGCTCATCTCCCCCCTGAGAGAACGTGCCTCATAGCATATGGCTGTGTTGTTATCCGTGTCAGGGTGAGCTATTTTCTGCTTGGTTCCTAGTAGATTTAAAGAAAAAAAAAAAAACGTGCCGGTTGTGGTGGGATTCTTACACACAGCAGGAGTTTTAAACATGGAATACGAGGCCCATAAAAATCTCACCTCCAGTGATGACGGCTGTTGGGACTCTGGCTCTTCGTCTGCCACCACCAGCAGGAGCCGAAGGTAATGAGCGTCAGCATTAGGCAACTTGTCACACTCTCCCCCTCCTCTCTCTGCCCCGGTGCGTTTCGGAGCTATAAATACGACCTGAAGGCAGCAACAACACACAATGCAAAGGTGAAATATTGGAGGAGAAGGTCGTGTGATGCTGCTTGGGTCAGTCAGCAGGGATGTCTGTTTGGATGAGGGGAAAATATGAAACTCTACAGGACTTAGTAGAAAACAAAAGGAAAAACACAAAATCTTACCAAGGTCTACTTTTTAGTGCAAATATTTTAACACACTTGGAAAAAAAAAATTGAACTTGTAAGAAACATTTCAGCGATTTATTTTAAGTAAATAATTCTTCATTGTTGATTAGTGCCCCCGACCCATTTTTGTCACTTATAAGACGTTTTCCCATGTTTCAAATGAACCAGCACTTTTTCATCAACTTTAATAAAATATTGACATAAAGCCACCTACTACATCTTTCTGAAAAGTTCTTAATTGAACTCCTCCACTTTTTTCCGCATACTTTTTGCCGCTTAACTACTTCTGCATACATTTCATCGTTGACCATGTTCTGCTCGTTCAGGACATCACAGCTGTGTCTTTTGGAATTGACATTTTCGACAAATTTCACAGGAAATGCAAATTTCTCATAAATTAGTCTTTCTTCAAGTGTAGTCAGGAATTTGTACTAGAAACTACACCAAAAATACTTTGCATTTGGCAAGATTTGTGTTTTTGCAGGGTTATACATGTTTAAGACCTTTTCTTCATATTGTTTTTACTTATTTCCTGCCAAATTTATTCTCATTTCTCACAATTTGTCTTCTTGTGACCTGAGCTTGTGGTAACATTTAATCTCTGGCGTCTGCCTGCAACCCACCGTCTTCACCACAACATTAATATAGATGGACAGTCATATTCAATAAACAAGTATCCCAATGAGACTCAGATTAGAAGTATCTTTTGATGAAAAAAAATCTTTCAGCAGGCATTAAGCATGCTTTTCAATAAGCCCACATTTCTGCATTAAACAGTTTTTTAAAAAATTGGTTCGATATTCTGTTTTCTTTAGCTGTAGTCTACAAAATTATCATAAAGGTTTGAAATTTAACCTGAATGAAATGTTTCACTTAGTGAATCAATTTACTGAAATAAGTAAACTAAACTTAGAGAACATTTTAGTATTATTCCAATTTATTAAATATGGATAAGGCAATGGGACTGCAAGATGTGAAAACCTGCTCTTTTAGTGGTTTTGATGTAATCATGTGGGATTTTTCTTTTTCATTAGCAACTGGTAAACAAGCTTTTCTGTTTGTTTTGGAAAAGAGCCAGAACATTGTGTGGCCAAGTTTTCTGGGAACGCCAAAGGAAGGAAGGAAATATCCGCGACATGCAGCAGTGCTTGTCGCCTATCCAGATGCAAAGCAAGGATCCATCTGCTTTCTGTAATTATTCTGATTTGGGGCAAGGAAAACTCAAACATATCCAGACAAATGTGCTGGGAACACACTTACAGGTATCAGATGATTGAGTTAATATCAAGTCAGAAAGGATGGAGCTGCTTTAGCTGCAGTGGTTCACAGATGATTCTGCTGGACTGAAATTTGTTTTATAGTTAAATCTTTCAGTCCTATTTTTTCATCATAAAAACAATATAATGATTTCCTATTACTTAGGAAATCAAAAATGTTTTCTACCGAACATCTACAGAACAGCCATCTTCTCTCACTGAATCTGAATGGTAATGAATGACTATAGCAGTTTCTGTGATTTGTAGATTCTTGATGGCAGCTCTGGGAGATGAGAGTGTTGAAAACATTTTGACTTTATGCTCAGTAAACCTGACAAAAATTTAGTGTTAACGATTCAAAAATTAATGATTCTAATGTTGATAACTCTTAGCAGTTTAATGAAAGGCCTTCACCGGTTGTCACTATTTCACTATTTCACGATAATGCCGTGTTCAACCTAATGCTTTGTTTGTCCAAATTCTCATCGCTGATGTGACACGTGTAAGTTAAGACCTCAGACTTTCGTCTTGTTATTGCCAACTTCTTTCTCAGTTTTCATATATGTGACTTTCTGGATATTTCCATGAAATGTCGGAAAAACTACTCATTCCATCTTATTGGTGAAATGTTTCTAAACTCACTGGCATTATATTGTCTAGAAATGATCTACAGGAAGAGATACACCTCATAAAAAATGTCCTCAGTCTTCTGACAAACAAATTTAAGTGAAAGCAGAAAGCATGTGCAACATAATGTGTCAATCTACAACACACTAAGGAAGTCAGAAGTATATTTACTTATTTATTTATGTATGGTGATGATGGTTACCTGCTCCAACACACCTGATTTCACTTGATAATCCTGTAAAAAGCCTGTGTTTTTTAAAATAAGGCGACTTTAGATAAATAGAAAGAGAATCTGTTTCTATTCTGGCAAGCAAATTCCCAGTGCTTGCCCTCCGTTGACACTTGTTGATATTGCCAACTAATCTGTAAATATAAATTTACAAGAGGAAAGTTTTTAAAGTGATCAAGGTAGACAGAAAAGTGTCAAATAAATTGAGTCAATTTAAAAATGAAAAAAAAAATTAAAAATCTGAGATGTTGGAATGAGAAAAAAAAAAGTATTTCTTTGTAGTACAAGAAGATAAAATGTTTTATAAAAGGTTTCGGAAAGTTGTCTAGTTACAAGCTGATATTCCATAGATATGAGTGTGTTAGACATGGTTTAATCTTCTTTATTTCTTCAGCTCTGACGTCTGTAATGTTCAAAGGATTACAGTGTTCAGCCTCATTAGACTCGCCTCTCCTCTCTCATTTCCAAGTATGAACCAAACAGAGCATTCTGTTCAGGAAACAGACACAGTTACGTTGCAATTTCACAGCCGTTTGCTGCGGCCAATTACTTTCTCACAATCACTGCAAATAACAACCGAGCCTGTGTGTGTTTGTCTAGGAGAAATAATACATCCTTGAATTAACCTTTGATTGGTTTTGACAAGATTCTGACCCTTCAAATCTCTGCCATCCCCGGAAACAAAGTGCAGATTGGAGACAGATGTTATTCACACTTTAAACCCTGAAGCTTGTACATTTAATGTGAATCTAAATGTTGAGCAGCAAATAGAAAGAAGGCTGAGCTTTTAAGACTGGATTTAGTGGGAATGAGCTCATATACAACTAACAGGTTTCATACAGGGAATTGAAATCCATAAAAATGTGTGAATTTTCAAGGATTGGAAAGTGCTTGATATTCAAACTGCACAGTTTTGTCAAAGTGCGATGTAACGTTTGTTACAGTTGAAACCAGATGTCTTCACTCACCTAGTAAAATAAAAACAAACTTCCACAATTTTTTCACTGTCTGCAGTCAAAGCAGACGAGACTTCTCTTGCTTTAGGGAAACTAAAATTGCCAATATTGTTATTTGCTAAATGCAATAAAACTAAGCAAGTTTTTAGAGATTATTTTTATTGTGTTCAAGCATTTAATTTTATCAGGAAGGTCATTTATTGATCTGTATAATTGAAATGAAGTCTAGCTTGTATTTCATATGTTAAAGTTATAGAAATTGGAGGATTTGTTAAATTTAGTTTTATTCTTGGTCCAATCAGATAATGGACATCGCAATACAAAACATTTTGCTACATTTTAATTGACCTTTTTCCTGCTGTAAAATGTAGAATACTACCACAAAAAGGTAACAAAATTGGTGCTGGAAAAGTTTGCAAACGTACCTTGAAAATGTTTGAAAAGTGCTTGAATTTTACTTGCCTTTACCAGCGCGCACACAGAAAAGAAAACAAGGAGCATCAAAACAATTTTCGGAAACTTGGTTTGGAAAGAGAGACATCAGCAGGTGTAGCATTAGGAAATTAGGTGCAGGTGTGAAGGAACATCCATTGTATATCCTATTTAACTTATGGAGTTTAAATGTGACAATAAAAACCTTCAGTTATACAACCAATAGATAAATGATCCTTTCTGGAGTTGAAACAAATTCCCCGTGCTTGCTCGCTGCTATATTTTTGGATATTAGTTCATCTTTATCCGTTCGTGAGCCTTGTTAAAAGATGTAAACAAGATCTGATGTCCGGTGTTGGGGCTGGGGCGAGTTGTGTCTTTGCGATATGATTTAAGACCTTCCCAGGGTTTCTTGTCTCTGGCTGAAACTCAATCCAGGCCATCTCTAAAAAAGTTGTCAGCAGTCCACGGTCATTTATAGCCCTGCAGCCTGGGACGCTGCAGAGAGGAGCAGATGCCTCCAGTATACGGTGTCTGATTAGCTTCCCACATTAGTGTGCATAACTGGAAGATTAGTGAATGTAACCTGAGCATGAAGAAGCTACAGTCAGGTTGTGAGAAAAATCTATTGTCTGCTTTAGAATGTATTTTTTTGGAATGATCATATTTCTCCAAGCCCTTCCAGAAGTCGGAGTTCTGCTCATTTTTTATCCACAGCTTGAATCACACATTTTGCAGCTCCTAAGAGACAAGCAGACAATAAGAAGCAACACTTGAGGCATGACTTGACACCTTTAAATAGATAATCCTCCCACAAGTTTGCCCCATTTGACCCAATCTCCCGCGCTGAGCAGGGTTTCGTTTGACAGGCTACGTGTCATCATCTGGTGAGCTCAGGTTTCCTCCCATCCATCTTGTTTCCTTCTCCTCAGACAAAATCCTGTACCTCCATCCTCTCTGTTGTTGCGCCTCTAAAAAAGCCCGACACGCACATGTGCGCGCACATGGTAGGATGACTGGCAGCTGTGGCTGTGTGCTGATGGTGTTGAATGCTGGAGATGTCACCGGATACTCACCGGAGACTCTCCCATCAGCGGCTCCGTGCTGAGGAAGACTGACAGCTCCAATCACTAAACCACCGTTTGCTGAAGCTCTTACAGAGTCGTGCCAATTATTGCCCATATCCTTAACTCATAATGACACAGTAAGGGTCAGGTGTCATTGTCAGGGTGTCGCATTAGTAATGAGGGTGAATATCTTTGGGTCCATAATAAAAGTATATTAATACACGACACATAAACAAACAACATTAGCCTCTGTTTTACACTTTGGAACGGCCCTCTGCTAATTCTCCAGTTCAAAATAATGTGTCTTTCTAAATGTCTGACAAGATACCAAACCAGTGAGGATCACAACAAGTTTTTCTTTTTGATAAATACCAAGACATTCATTGTTCTGGAGATCTGTTTCGTTATTTTCTTCAAATTCATTGAAAGATTACTTTGACAGACAATCTGACACAGTTCAGCCATCTTGCTGCTTAGGAAGTCGATGTCTTGAAAAAAATTTGCATTAGACAAGAGATTCAGTACTTCCCAAGTTTATTTTCAGTTTGTCAAGCATATTTTTTGTCAGCAACAGTGACAAACGAACCTGATTCTTCATCATCAGCGGCTTCTGTTCACCACAACCTCAACACATGTCACAACTTTGATGAATTAATAGATTCTGTGAACAGATCACTTCGTTAAATTATAGGCAGCATCGTAAAACAGTCTTTTTTAAAACCCCTTTTTGTAAAAAAACAAAACAAAATAAAAATTATATTTACACAGAAAAAAAAAACAACAACCCTTGAACACTACATTTGTCAAAACGGCATTAATGGAAACAACCAAATCAAATCTGGAAAGAAATATGAATCTTAACAGGGTAGATGCGCCCAAAGTAACCCTCACACACAGGCAGCTCAAAAGATATATAGATGTTTATATATATTCATATATATATATATATATGTGTGTGTGTGTGTGTGTATTCAACCATATATATTCTGTATATATGCTTCTTTACAAAAAGCAAGTTTACTCTTCCTATGAGTAAATACATTCTACATGACAATCACTACAGCAACAGTGTACATTCCCAAAAGAAATGTTTTGATCACTTTTATCAGGAGGAGCTTCAACAATCAGCGGACCAGAAAGTATGCAACGACATGCTCATTGGGACTGCAGTATTGTGTGCATATGTGTGAAACAGCCACGCCGTCATCCTCTGACACAGATGCACCTACACACACTCAGGGTTCAACCATGAGTTCAGCAGTCAGCTTGCTTTGCTACATTCATCGAAACATGAGACAGGAGAGGCAGACAGATCTTCACAATGCATTCTGTTTTAATGCAGCAAACCGCTTGCTTTCAGAGGTTAAGTATGGGAGATTTTTCTTACAAAAAGGTTTAAGATTCTCCGTCGGGTCTACTGCACAATATTCAGGCCTTTTCAAACGAGGCGCACACACACCTCCAAACTGTGCATATGACTCCTAGGAGACATGCAGATTGGTCAGAATTACGCAACAAAGCCTTTGGAAGTCTTTGGTGTCTGGATTAAACCTGTCCTCGAGGAAAAAAAAAAGAACAGTTTTACCAAAGATTAGAAATAAATGAGCTCCAAGCAGAAGGTAAAAGAAAAGTCCCTCCTGAAAACTAAACTACTGAACATTTCACAGCATCTAAAACCTTTTGTGTGTGTTGTTAGGAAGCCAGAACTCCTCCCTCTCCCCTCCCAGCAGAGACCTATTATGTACAGTGCTACAGACAGCCCCTCATAAAGCACCATGATAATAAATGGAGCAGGTGGGGGATGTGTTTTCTCAGCTGAACATGGCTCAAATCCTCAAGAACAAACAAGGTTCAATCACGTGTGACTCACACTGCACACGCACATATGTAATCAACAAAGCAGAGGGGATATCACATCATGTATGTGTGCTTGGTTTTTAAAAGCTGACATATTTACATTTGATTGCAAGTGTGCTTGGGTGTGTTTGCCTGTTGCATACGTCTGTGTGTGTGTGTGTGTGTGTGTGTGTGTCTGTCAGGTGGCCCTGAGTACAATGCGCAGGTGTATTGCTCATGTGCAATTTGTGCTTTCTTAAAATATCTGTTGAAACGCGAATAAATGTTTGGAAAACCTTCACTTCAGCTGACGAAACAGGACCAGCACTTCACACATAACACTGTCTTACATGAAGAGTCCGAATCTGTGTCAAAGAATGGAGATTAGTCATTTTCTGTTGGTTGCATGATTACACACGCCTGCCAAGAAAAATATCAGTAGTACATATGGATCATTGAAAATATTATTTTTCTACATGATTGCGATGGATATTTGCTTTTTTTATTTATTTATTTTTGTTTGGGAAACCACTAAGACATCACAATATATAATATCAGAATATTCAATCAACCTGGAAAATAGACTCATTCATTATTAAATTGATATTGATAATGCAAAACAGGGCTCAAGTCTTTGAAAAACTGCTTTTTCTTTTGCCTCAAGTTTGAAACGATCTCAGCATTGAAAGTGGTCTTGCTCAACATATTTTGAAGTTCTTTCAAAGTTTCCCTTTGGACTGTAGCTGCTGTTTCGCTCATTTTCTGTCCACAACAGCTCACTTTGCAACCTTTACTTGTACTCCTGTTTGTGCAACCTATTAGGAAGGTAAATACAAACAAATTAACTGTAACTTGAAGCCAATGAGCACCAACAGCTAATGAGATTCATTAATCATGAGTCCCATGAAGCATCACTAGGCTGTTTTTCAAAAGAAAAGGATGAAGTGTTGACTGACTTGTTCTACTGGCATCTATAGTTAGAAATAACAAATCAAACTCGACCATGCTATAGTTCCAAGTTAGAAAATTATTAAACAAGCTGGTGGCCAAACAAACTAATGACATTTTGTGTTTTCACTGTAGTTGGGGTAGAAAATTTACATTCTGACTTGTGGGGACCTTGCTCTTACCCATATTGACTCAAAACTTTGATATAGAAAATTCCTAATAAGAATGAAACTGCAGCCTTCAAATAATGCACTGCTAAAAAAAAGAGGATTTATTTTGTCTTTTTGCAAATTGACACCACAACAAATTACTCCAAATCCTCTCATTTAAAATGGTCAGGAAAATGATTATGATTGAAAAAACGTATGAAAGATTTGAAAACGTCTGCGTAGAGTTTAAAGTTGGGTCTTGGCTAAACTATGTGTTGACAGAACACAGTATGCTTTAAGTTTAGGATCTATTTATTCCATGACCAAGTTTGTCTTTGTTGTGCACAAAGCAGCCAAAGTCCAAATAAAGAACTTCATCATGTCTGATGAGACATTGCTTCAAGACAAAACAAAGCTTAAAAATGTCTCTCTCCATGGAGGCAAAATGTAATGAATGATGGATGACTCAAGACTTTTGCCCAGGCCTGCAGACTGTAACCCAGTTTTACTGTTCCACATATTTCACCATTACTCCGCTCTTAACAAGCGACACACATTGGGACCTCTGCCTTCTGCAGCGTATTAACGCCTCTTTGACTGTGAATGGGCCTTGTTCTGGACCTGCCCCCTCTGGACCACCCGTGCCACTTTCAGGTCGGCCATGTTTGTCTGAGCTCTCGCTCCGCTGCCTGTCCTCTGCGCACGGCGGCCGTACAGCCGGGCGCAGCGAGAGGACGGGGTCAGCAGTCAGGGTGACTCCTCCTACGTGTCTGTTCGCTCTGAGGGGAAATGAAAAGGTTGCTCACTGAGGTATGACTGTCTGCCTTATTAATGAGGGCCATCTGGGGAGAGAGTGCAGAGGCAGAGAGAGGAGGCAGAAAAACTCAGCTGACAGGGAAGGTCTGTTCTAACACAACCCAGTGTTACAGCATGCATGTAAAGTCGCCACAGGAGCAAAGCAGAACTACAGGGTCTCAATCAGAGGTGATTATCTCAAATATTTTCTATATAATTAATCAATATCACGAGTCAGCGGATCATGCTTTCCCTTCAGGAGTCGGGATCTGCGTGATTATGCACGTTACAAAAATCCAGCTTTAACAATAAGGACTTGACTTGTTGTTTTGAAAAATTAACTTTCAAAGCTTATCGACTTTTTCTCAGATGTCATTCCTGATTAATTTAAGCTCCACAAATCAAAGCGGTGCCCAGTTCAGAG